AATGCATCGTCTGTCCAACATAAAAACGACCAGAAGGTAAATGAACAATTGCATAAATCACTCCTCGAACAGTGAGAGGGTCCATACCTGGCTCAAGAGGTTGTTGATCAACACCTCGCAATTGTAACTCAAACCGCTCGGCCTGCACAACATTGTTAAGATGACGGAGTTGTTTCTTGCGCCACCTTCCTATATATCGTCACAAACAGAACTGCCCGGTAAAACCGTAGGCAGTATATATACATATATTGTCACATGCATATCAGAGCACAAAGGCGAAAAACAACAGAAGAAAACAAGAAAAAAATAATTTGTTTCTTTATCTCCTTTCTTACAACTCCCCTTGTTCAGAACCTCTTGCGTACAAGGCCGCCCACGTGGATGTAGGTTGAGTGGCGGCTTCTTCCACCCCTGTTTGTCATATCGACCCACTTGCACACAGCCAAAGGGCAAAGAGGCAAAGAAAAGAGGAAGGGAACAGCCAAATGCAACAAAACAGGGGGCAACAAGCAACAGCACCAAAATAGATCATAGAGGACAAGTCCCACATGCAAGCACCACCCTGGGCGGCTAGATGGGCTATTGCAAAAAAGGGTGTAAGAGTTTGACGTATATGAGGAATGCGGGGAGACTGGCAGTCCTATCCCAGAATGGGCGATGATTGGATCTGGAAACAGATGGGTGGATTAGGACCCCGATATTGGGGAGGGGAGACATATGGGTTGTAGAAGGGCTAGGTGTACCTGGCTATGCAGAATGGCTAGGTGCACCTGACTAACTGTCCGGGTTTTGAGCTATAGGATGAGGATGAAGGAGTCGTGATTTAGGTGGTTTGTTTGAACTCGAGGTAGCTAATGGGATCCAGGATGTGAGGCCTAGAGACTGGAGGTGCAGTTCTGTGAACCAACACTGCGCACCCCTTCCCAAAAAAACACACACACAAACACACTCATTGCGTCTGGGTACTGAGTGGTGTTTCTCGGCCACTATATGAGCCCTGGCTTGCGTAGGACAATTATGTGTCACAAGACTGCACCCCCCCCTGCAAAGCGTCTAGTGCACCAGGGATAGTCGGCTGGACCTTTTTCGTCTGTTGTTGCCTCTCTTCCTCTAGGCTGAACATTGCTCTATGCTTGCGGGTGATGAGCAACCGGACTGTTGCCCCCCAGAATAGATGGGGCCTTGTGTTGGTTTGGGGGGAAAATAAAAAAGGGGAAACTACGCGGGAGTCACAAAAATGAGTTATAATTGCACTACATGGGCCAAGATACAGTTTCCGCTTGCAAAAACGAGTTATAATTGCACTACATGGGCCAAGATACAGTTTCGACTTGCAGTTCAGGCAATGTATACAACCCAGCTTTCTGGCCAGGTAGGGTGCCCGAAGTGCAATTGCAACCTGTACCTTGCACCATAGTGCAATTATAACTCGTTTTTGTGACTCTACTGAAAAAAAAAAAAAAAAAAAAGAAGTTACCCCCCAAAAAAAAGAATAGCAGAAAGACTCTGAAAGAGTAATAGTAATAGAAGTAGCAGCAGTATCGGTGCTGCTTCTAGCAGCGGTACTGTAGCAGCGGTGTTGCAGCAGTAGCGGCAAAAGCAGAAGTAGCAGAACGAGCAGTGAGAGCAGTAGAAGTCGCGGCAGTAGCAGTAACATTCGTAGTAGCCGTTAAATATCATAGTACTTATTGAGTAGTAATAACACCAGTAGTAGTAGTGTAATCGTGCCGGTGGTCGTGGCCGTGATGGTAGCAGCTATAACGGCCGCTGTGCAGTGGTGGTTGTAAAGGGGAGGGGACAAAGGATGAGGTGGTGGGCAAGGCATAGGAAGGCATAGGAAGGGAACTTACAGGCCAACAGGTTGATCGCAGGAAGATCCAAGCTTGTGGTCCTTCTCTTGGGATGGAATCCCTAGCGCCGCTGCTGCTGCCGCCGCGGCTCCCGGCCCTGTTCTTGGAGGCTTGGCGATATCTCGTCTCACTTTCTTGGAGACGATGGGCCAGGCAAATCTCTCCCACGGCTTGACAGAACGCTGAGGGGGAATAGCAGCTGAGGCAGATAAGTGTACACCCTTGTTCACCTGGTGATCGAACGCTTTAAGGTAGGCCGACACTCGCAGGTGCTTTCCTCTCTCCGAGCAGTGATCGTTGGCCACGCCGAAGATTCGCACATATGTGCCCGGGAGATAGTAGGAGGCGTGACTGTTCTTAGCCACGTAGACGATGAGGTAATTGTCGTCCGTGTGCTGACATTCTCCCCAAGGCAACCATATCCCTTGCCCGCTACCGTGTGCGAAGAAGTACACGTGGCACGGCTCCCACTCCCTGTACGGATCCTTGGAGTATAAGATGGTCAGCTTTTCTACGTCACCCTCGTGATACCCGACGTTCCTGGGGAACAGACCACCGAAAGCCGGCGAGGGATTCTCCACATAGTAGAGGCTATACGTGATCGCTGTGTACTCGACGCCCTGGTAGATCATCGAGGCGCTGTTTGACACATAGATTGGTATCTCTGGCAGTTTGCTACACACTTGGAAAGGATTAGCGATGTCAAGTACCTGGGGAAATACCTTCTCAGCTGGGTGAAACCGGAGTTCAAACCCTCGGAATTTCCTTGGCCGCAAAGACTGATCATCGCCGGGTATCTGAGAACCCGAAGGTGGTGGAGGAGGAGAGATAGGAACAGAGGAAGTTCTGGCAGGAGCGCCTGAGGGAGAAATGAAACCCCGTGACTCGATTCCTCCGGGAAAAATATCCATGTCTGCACCGCGCACCTTCTCTCGGTCACCACCAAAGGATCCCATCCTCCTCCCTCCACCTGCCTCAGATGCAACCACCTCTGCCATTACCGTGGAAGGGGGATGCAATAACGACTGGAATTTAGGGAAAGTGGACGAGACACCTCGGCCCCTCTACAAACTACTTTCAACCCTTAGCTTCTCTTGCCGTACTCCTGTTCGTCCGCTCTTGCCGTCTTTATCTCCACCGAATGGGGACCTGACGATAACTATTTTCTTCTCCTCTTGACTGAACTTTCCCTCTGATCTACACTGTTCTTCTCCTCCTGTTTTCCTCCCAACCCGTGGTCAGCCACTGCTTACTTCGTTTTCCATCCGATGTGCCAGCATATGTCTGAGTCATCGGCGTCTTCATCGATTTATGTACAATTACGATGGAACAGATATTGGTCTCGGCGTCTTCGTCAAGTATCGTGTCACATGTTGCTACATCGGTCCTCGATGGAGGAAACCAGAAGACTGAAGATCCGAAGTGCGCCGAGCCACGTCGTCTTCACGGAAGCCGGCAGAATCCAGCATGAAGAGCTGCAGCGTTCACAAGACGAATCGATAAATATTAAATAAATAATGATTTATCTATATATATCTACACACACACACACATACACACACACACACACACACACACACACACACACACACCCCTACCTCCACAGACGCACACACACCACCCACCAACACACACCCACCCACACACACAGCAGACTGTCGGGGCTCAACCTCCCGAATGAGTCGGTGAAAGTCCGACGAAACAGTCTGGCACAGTCATGCTTTTTTGAGTGTATAGCGGATATGACAATACACAACACGGCCTTGCTAAGCTCTCCGTCCAGGAGGATCGATGCGGCCAGAGTCGGGACCGTACTAGCGGTCATGCCATTGGATGTCCATGGCTGAGTGGGGTTTTATGACTGTGTCAGATTAGTTTCTCAGAATTACTGCCATTCTTGTCAGGGGTTTGGAGCGGCAGTCTGCTAGGATTGCACGGTTGGTGTGAATAGAGTCCACCACTTTTCTCAGGGGTACAACTAACTTTGGGCGATGTGGTGCGTCCTTATCCATCAGTCAAATGCATCCTGGGCAGACTGTCGGGGTTCAACCTCCTGATGAGTCATGCTTCTTTTTCTTTTTCTTTGAATAGCCCTTCCACAAGCCCTCTATCCCAGGGGCGGTGAAAGAACCACTGGGATTGAGGGCTTTTCTGTTTGAGTGTATAGAGAATATGACAACACACACATGCAGAGTGACGGCCTCGTTGTTAGACACTCCTAGCGTCCTCGGGCCCAAGGACGAATCCTTGGAAAAAATTGCATTTTTGGCATCTTCGTTCCACAGACCGTTGGCGTAGAGATTCCTCCTTGGAGCTTTTACAGGAAAAAAATAGAAACAGAAAAACAGTTGTACTTGAGGCTTGCAGGAAGTTGCAGCCAATCGGGTGGCACCATTATCCGGATTCTCTCGGCTGAGTGTATAGCGAATATGACAACACACACACACAGAGTGAGGGCCCCATCAGACATTCCTCAGAGCATCCTCGGGCCCAAGGACGAATCCTTGGAAAAGTTTTGCGTTCTCGGCGTCTTCGTTTGACTCATCCTCGCAACATCGGCTTAGAGATTTGTCTTTTTTTGGGGGGGGCACAGGTTGTTTGTGAGGCTTTCAGCCAATAGGGTGCCGCCACATTCCGGATTCTCGGTCCTAACGTCTCTCTACGTGTGTGCCGGATTCGTCTTTTTTTGGGGGGCGAAACAGGCTGTTCTTGAGGCTTTCAGCCAATAGGGTGCTGCCACATTCCGGATTCTCGGTCCTAACGTCTCTCTACATGTGTGCCAGATTCGTCTTTTTTTTTGGGGGGGAACAGGCTGTTCTTGAGGCTTTCAGCCAATAGGGTGCCACCACATTCCGGATTCTCGGTCCTAACGTCTCTCTACGTGTGTGCCCTGTCCTCTCTATGGAACACGGATCCTTGGCTCCAAGGGACCTCACGAGGGTCCCTTGGAGCCTGCCGACGAAATGGCTGGAGAATCCTAATTCCCCAAGGATTCATCTTCTGAGCCTTGTCACATTTTTCAAGGAATTTCGTTTTTTAGGACGCCGTGTAACCACAACTTGGTGACCAAATTGTGACCCCAAGGAGTGTCTTTTTTTTTTGAGAAAAGCAGACCGAGTTAATGCTAGGGGTGCTGGTAAAAGCAGGCACCACTAGCACCCTCGTGGAGGCTCCATCTATTGGTGGGGAGCAGCACCTGCTGGAAAGCGGGTCCAGCGTCCCTTAACATTTGGATTCTTGAATAGAACAGACATTTGACTGGGATGGCCTTCTAGAGGAGGGAAATGTATGGCTACACAACCAAAGCTGATTACCTACATGACAACCGAAAGTAGGTGTTTCACCACCTATAAGTGACCCCCAGTTCATGTGGGCCAGAAACCCTCCCTTCCCCAAACCCTCACCCTTCGGTCAATAAGAAGACCTGATTCTCTGTACTACAGTGGTTTTATTTCCTGGTGTGCCTCTTCAGCCAGCTTCTTGGCCGCCTGGTGAAACTTGTATAGAGACTCTCTATCCTTTCCCCTTTGTCCTTCTCTCCTTTTCACCTCTTTCTTTGTCTCACCCTCTTTCAGCCTCTCGAGTCCAAGTCTGTTCCTTGCTGATTTACCATACTGACATTTATGCTGACCGTTTGATCCTGTCTAGGGGCCCCCTCCCCCGTACCACTGTTCGCCCACCATGGCTAAAGCATGTGGTGGGAAGGGGTCTGGGAAGTCTGAGGTGGGGCGCCATGGCACACCTGGGTCGACTTTGGTCCAATCCTGAAAACTGAGATGATAATTTCTGCCCTCACGCCCCACGATTTCCCCCTCCCCCTCCCTTCCCTCCCCCCCCTCCCATAGAACTTTTGCAATGGGACTCCCCAAGGGCCCCCCCAGCCAGTCATTGCTGAATTGTTGCATGTGTTTCTTGATTTCTGCTTTGACATGTAGGGATGTTAGTTTTTCCTTCACCTTCTCCCATTGAATAGTAATTTTGGCTTGCACTTGCTGCCTGATTTCCTCCTCCAAGATTGATCCATCTAGTCGCACTTCCTCCATCTCAAAAATGCAGTGCCTCCTCCATAGAGCCCAGAGCACCGCCCGCCTCCCCAGTTTAAACATATTATCCTCAAACGTGGTGGTCTGCTCCGGGTGCCACGTTTCACACAGCAGTGCCTTCCAATCTCACAGCAAAGGTTCCGTGATGCCCGTCTGTCTCCACACCCTGTCCCACCACCTCCATAGCCATACCGACAATGGACATTGTAAGAAGATGTGCTCGATTGTTTCCGGTCGACATCAGGACGGGAAGGCAGATGAGCAGAGTTTGCACCATGGCAAGGCAAGCCCTCGCTGCTCCAGGGTAGTACTATCTATCAACCAGTTGTTTGTAGGTAGGCAGCGGTGCTCAACTTGCCATTGCAGTGATGCCACTTTCGCTGGGGAGGCCTTGCTCAGTCTAAACCACGTTACTGAGCGAAGGGTCTCCTTCCCCAAGTTCAGGTCGCATCCACCTGCTCTCCACCACGTCCTTAACGTTTATTTTGGGGCGTGGCAGCCGATAAGCCGACTTGACCGACTGTGCATGCAGTTGTCACTGGCCCTGCTTTCCCCTGCCCATGGGTGGGGTCCAGGTCCAGTTTGCCGGGTCGAAACCAAGACGTGAGATTGGTGTCGTCAGTTTGTATGCCAGCCATCGGTCCCTTTCTTTTAAGACTTGGATGAGGAACAAATCTGATTTTTTGTACCAGCAAACCTTCATCTCCTTCCGTCCTTGTCAGCCTGTCATCTAAGCCTTTGTGGAACAGGTTAACCAACACGTCCTTCCCTCCCTACCGTGCCTGAAATATGCCCACTAATATTTTCCACTTCTCCCTCCTGTCCGGGGTGTCCCTTTATACCCACCCAGTCTCCCTCCTCCAACGCTGGCCCTTTTTTGAGAATGCGAACCCAGTCTACGGGGACCGCAAATATGATTGTCTCTAGGGCCTCCCCCACGTTGTGACAATACCTCAATTGTTCTTTCAGCTTGAGTTCAAGTATCCAGTCTCCCCGGCCCTGGTCCCAGATATCCCCCACTCTTAAGATACCATGCCTGGTCCATCCTTTCCAGGAGGAGTCCGTGCACCGTAGCACCCTATTGTAAGAGTCAGTTATCCACCGATTGCCAAAAAACGTTTGTCTATATACCTCTTCCCAGCGCCGTGGTGGTGTTTTCTCTGTCGTCGGTCATGGTCTGGGTACAAGACAATATCGGTTTTCCAACCAGGTAGTCGGATTTGTGTCAAGGGGTGTCAGGCACTGCCAGCGGAGCCAGCCGGCTAATTTGCTGTAGTGCCGATGTATTCCATGGGGACTGTGCACTGCAAGGCTAACCCGGCTAAGGCCATCACCTCGGTCGTTGGGTCTATGATCCCCAGTCCTCCTTTGATCTTTGGTTGGACTATCGTGTGCCATGCCACTCTGCTAATGGCATTAGGACGCTTATGGTTCCCTCTCTACAAGAATGTTGCCACCTATCGCTGGAGGGTAGCCATCGCCAGTTTGTTGAGTGACCAAAGTGCTGTTTTATACCATAACGAGGCCAATACAACATTATGGATAACCAATGCACGACCCATTTGTTTTTCCAATGGCTTAACTTTTCTAGGACCTGCTGCATCAGCCACTCGTCGTTTAGGGGCGGTCGTCCATCTGCCGACAATTTTACCCCCAAAACCCTGACCTGGGCCTCCTTGGGCAGCCATCGAACCCGTGGGGATTCTGGCCGCCTGGCCCCCTGGTAATGTATCCACCAGCCTTCCGTTTTATTACCCCAGTAACCCCAATTCACTCGCATGTTTGATAAGGTACAAAAACGGTCCATCAAGTGGCAAACTTCCTCCCTGTTCTCCGGCGAGGCGTTCACCATGAGGGTGAGATCATCGATGAAAAGGGAGCACATAGGAATAACCTCTTCTGGAATAGAAGTTACCCTTATTTTCTTGATTTGTTTATGAGTGTGCAGGTTTGCTGTTAGCACTTCCATAATTGTTACGAACAAAAAGGGGGTAATCGGGTCGCCATAGCGCACCGATCATTCCAGGCGAATGGGAGGTGCCGGTTTGCCATTTACCTGCACCCTCGTCGTGGCATTGTGATGAAGGATCTCCACCCACCCTGGTACTGCTACCACTTCACCCCTCTATGGGGCGCCTGATCTTGCTATATTCTTAATGAGTTCCTCTCTCTCTCTCTCTCTCTCTCTCTCTCTCTCTCTCTCTCTCTCTCTCTCTCTCTCTCTCTCTCTCTCTCTCTCTCTCCCCCCCAGCCCATTTCAAAATCATCTATTAGGACCATCTTGAAGTTCCTTCACGCTTCTCTCCCTCTTCTTTCGTCTGAAGCCTGGTCCCAATCCGCACTACTCTTCGCGCCCTCCTCCTTCCTGCCTTCATCCACATACAGGGATTCCCTACCGATATCCCCCCCCCCCCCTCCTCTCAGAGCGTCGG